ATAAAAAGGTTTTTTAGGGTTCTATGCTGTAATTAGTTAGCAACACATAATGTTCCCTTTTTATCAGCACTCTTTATAGAGAATTTGCTTCTTATATGTATTTGTATAATGAAGGTGCATATGTATATAATTTAGGAATTTGGGGAAGTATCTTTTTGAAAATTTTCACATATTTTGGATCTGCATTCATTTATTGACTAATAGCCATAGCCAATACATTTTAATACTTTTTCTATGCTTTAGTTAATATGGTTCTTTCAAGAAAAGTCAGTTGGACACTTGACAAAGTTTGTTTGAAAAATGGGGGAGAGGGAAAAGAGAAATTATGGCAATGGACATTGCCAGCTCGTCCGATGTGTTCACCCAGTTCATTGTGCTGCCCACAGTCTGAAGGAATGCACAGCAATTCCTTAAGAAAGTTACACCCTTACTGCACTCCTCAAGGGTATGAGCCAACCATCTTCTGTCTGCTGCCAAGTCACTCTAACTTTGGCATTGCACCCATCTGCAGCCAAGGCACCTGGTCTACCAGTCGCACTATTGTATACAGCATCTTCCCTCAATAGCTCTCACAGTCTGTTCACGAAGCATCCCTGCCCGCTGTGTTTCCTACTGACTTGCTCTGAACATATCTCCACCATTCCTGCATCATCACTAACATTTGTAGGAGTATTTTGGCACAAATTGTCAAGGCTCCACCATAAGGCACGCAACTTCCACCACGGCTGCAGATCCCAGGACTGCACCTAGAGGTAGTGGAAGGGCAAGGAAAAAAGAAATCTTCTGAGGGCACTTGGTTGGCATGTGGTGATACTTCATTGTAAGTAAGGTGTTTTACAGCTGCATGACTAATTGAAATGGGGACTCCAGGAGAACAGGTAATGATTGTTTATTTCATGCATTTATGGAGAGAAGCTGTAACACCGATCTAAGATTACTCTGCTGATTTACAGAACTCCTTCAAGCTTTATACAGTTTATAGCATCTGTGTTTCAATTACAATTCCCACACATTAACACCCTTTTGTCCCATATTGTCATTGTTTCCAACAGTTTTTGTAGGTGTTGTCTGTTTCTCACCCAACGCCTTCAATGGCTACTAACCTTGACAGTCTGGATGCCTTGTTTGTTAGTTTCCACATGATCATTTATCTCAGTTGGTTGGATAGCTGGATTGCAATGCAGTGATATCAACAGCATGAGTTCAATTCCCACACCAGCTAAGATTACCATGAAGGACTTTCCTTCTCAATGTCTCCCCTTGCTTGAGGCATAGTGACTCTCAGGTTAAACCACCACTGATCCTCCTCATGAGAGCAGTTCTATGGCCCAGCAGGACAAGAGCAACTTTATCTTTTAATTTGCTAGCTTGTTTATTACTGACTATAAGGCTAAAGCTTTAACTCCTTCACTGACTTCATCCCTCAGGTACCCCTTTTTGGCCCTTGGCCTTGCTAAAGGTAGCTGATACAGTGGTGTTGGCCTTTGCCATTATGCTCTGCACCCATCGATAATGAACACGATCTATCTTGGGGTTTCAAAGGCAACAAGTCAAACCATCTGTACTATCTAGTCTTCAGTCAAGATCATTGACGTAACGCCTTGTTGCCCCAATTTTTGAATCCCCACTGCCATACCTCCTGGTGTGATAACTTGGGCATATTAGACATGAAATTAATGAGCTGTGCAACGACCAGGGCATGGGAGATGATTCTAATCCACCTGCATATTCATTCCCCTATTCTACAGTTCCTCCCACAAGGTGGTAAAGTCTAGAAGTTCAGTAGCGTCTACTCAGCCTGTTGCTGGAGTGTATACTATCTCTTGTACACTTGTACAGTCACTGTGCCACTTCCTAGGCCAAAGTGTTCATTCAGTAGTGGGATAACATCGTAGAAATGGTTTAGTCATTGTGTCAGGTTGCCTTTGATGATTTCACAGCTTGCCTCTTTATATATAGCTACAAATTCTACCTTTCTGACTCTCGTTGGCACCGCTGGGTGTAAGCACAATGAATGGTTGTAGATGGAAAATGGTCTGCTGTTTCTGTATCAAAACCCCTGTTGCCGTGTGTTAATAAATATTTAGGGCGGCACGGTGGCTCAGTGGTTAGCACCGCAGTCTCACAGCGCCAGGGACCCGGGTTCGATTCCAGCCTTGCGCTACCATCTGTGTGGAGTTTGCACGTTCTCCCTGTGTCTGCATGGGTTTCCTCTGGGTGCTCCGGTTTCCTCCCACAATCCAAAGATGGTTAGGCTAGGTGGATTGGCTATGCTAAATTGCCCGTAGCGTTCAGGGATGTGTAGATTAGGTGGGTTATATAGGGATGGGTCTGGGTGGGATGCTCCAAGCGTCAGTGTGGACTTGTTGGGCCGAAGGGCCTGTTTCCACATGGTAGGGATTCTATTCTATTCATTACTACCATTATCCATGCACATGACAGTTGTTGGACCTTTTAGAATTGACATATAGCCTCCTATAAATCCACATATTGCCTCTTCTGTTACTCTTCTCTATCTTGGATGAGCATATACCACTAAAGAGACTTCTACACTACATCTATTTAAACTTATTGTGTTAGGTATAGTACTTATTACATTTCCCCCTGTCTCTTTTGTATGTGGTGGTTTATTATGATACCACTCATAATCCCCTTTATTTAACCCAAAATTCTCTTCCCTACAAAATGTCTTAATAGGCATTGATTCTGGTATAAGTGGGATTGCCGCTGATCATCATGTTATCATGCATACACTTGTTTAACATGAGTCTCACTCATCTAGAGGAAATAACATTGAGGATGATAGACACTTGGCCTCCTTACCTCCTCCACATCCTGAAGGGACCTTCAGCTGTGACTTCTCTAAGGATGCAGTTTAGCAATCACTGGAGGTTGCTGCTGGTGCTGGGCTTGCTGACACCTTTGTGGCTTCTCAATTTTTATCTACACCTTTGTGGCATTGTGGCCACAGTGATGATAACACCTGCTGCTGCTGAACCTGTTTGGGACAGTTGCATTGAACCTATTTGGCGAACATGAGAAATCGAACAGCTTCTTCGTATTGGGACTCATTAGTAGTCACAACAGATATAAATAAGACTTTTGTAAAGACTTTTTACTCTGTAGTTTTAAAAGGGGACTGTAATGAGAAGAGATCTGCCTTAAAACCAAGGATTGCTGCGTTGTTCGAAAGGAAGTAACGTGATGCTCATTGTAAGCACTTTTTACACAGCTGTTTGTTCAAGTAGTGGTTAAGTATGGTTGTAGTCAAACAGAACTCAAGAGGTTATGTATGGTTAGAGCTTTCATTGGTAACAAGTGGCTGATTAGTTTATGGACTAGTGATCAGTTATCAATGACCAGGCCTTTTGTTTGCCAACAACTGTGTAATTGGTTCACAAGCTGAACAATTTGGGGCCGTGGATGAGAAACCAGAAAGATATCAAATCTCCAACAACTTTAGAGGTGTCTCTGTTCTCTGCAATACAAGCACTTACCTGAAGAAAACTAGTTTATCTTCCCTTCAGTTTCTTTAAACTGTGATTTTTAAATTACAAGTCAGATGTTTCATAAGCTTCTCTTTCTTTTTCACTGCTCCTTCTCTGTGACTAACACTATATTCTGCTCTCTGTTCTGCTACCTGATGCTTTTTGTATGGTGCCTGATCTGCCTGTAAAGCAGGCAAAATAACACTTTTCAGTACCTCGGTACATGTAACAATAATAAATCAAATCGAAGCAAACCAGCTGTAGTGATTGTAATGAGGTCAGCCAGGTGAATCTCCTAGAATATGAGTTCCCTAATTGTTCCAGGTTAACAGCCCCTATTAGGGAGCCTTGGCTGACAGAATAAACAGGATTTTCAGAGGTTTTGTACACTGAGAGCTGGCTCTGGGAGGCCAGACCAGTTTCAAGTACTGTGCATGTGTAAATAAAGGGTGACTTGGTGATGGGATATCAGCTTCTGTGGACTTATTTCACCAACCACTCTGTGTGTCTCTTGTGAAACAATAGAAGCACCTGGAGAAAGATAACTGAGACCCAGCTTTCTAACTAGCAGGAGAATCTTAAGAATCATCTCTAGAACCTTGGAACTGTCTTCCCAGGCTTTCCCTCTGTCCAAACCCCATGTTTTTTTTTGTCTGTGCATGTGTGTAAACGTTGGAGTTTATAAGAGGAGTAGAATAATGTGTTGATGATTCATCTGTCGCTAGAGTATACTTGGAATAAATAGTAATTTATGTCAAGTACAGGAACCTGGGCCATGCTGGGTTCAAAAGACAAGTAAATTACAGAACCTTTCCATACTTTATAAAACATTTAACTTTTTTGATGCTGCCGGGACTGGCAGGCCTTGATTTCCAGTACATGACCCCAGTAAGGGCTAACACTCTGCTCTAGGCCTCGCTACAATTGGACATGGAAATTTCCACCAAGGAAGACCATGGGATGCTTCGGTATGGACCTCTGACTTTATCTAGTCGTATGCAGCACAAGCCATATCATGCAACTGTACTAGGAAATGATAAATGCAGTGGGATTTGACCCCCACCTCCGCCAACCACCTTGCAAATCAATCGAGAAACACAGCATTTCCCATAAGAACATGTTTTCACATACCTGCAGTGCAATGTGAGAGTAAAGCAGCTCCATGCCCTTATTTAGCCAACGACCCTGTTGGAATGCATTTGGGAATTGTTGACCATAGGTGCGGCTTTAAAGGTTGCCTGTTATCAATTATCCATTGCAGAGATTCCTACGATTGTCTTCATCATTTCCTAACTTTCTTGTCATTCCTTCAGAAGCTGAGAAATTTTACCCACAATGTTTTTTTTGTTCATGGAGCTGTTGCAATTCTTTGCTGTCCTAATATTTTCATGCATTGCTTTCAGCTAGGCCTGGCCTCCCTTGAAGAACTGCAACAACTATTGAGAGCTAAAGAAAGAGTTTTACTTCAGTCTACCAAAGCTCTAACAAGTCTTATTGAAGGAAAGCGGTCCACCCTGCCCAAAGCTGAGGAGGTATGACATTAGTAAATACTAACAATATTTAACAGCTTAAGCAAATCTTTGAACAAATGTATGACAATTTTGTGCTAATGTATATCATGTTGATTATAGTAATCATGTCAAAAATTACATTAAAAATCACTACTAAATTCAGAATTTTTGTAATTCTATTTGACCAAAACAATCAGTTGTAACAACTTTGTGTAAATTTCTAATTTATTATTCTACCCATGTGTTTTTAAATATCATAAAATCATTTGCTTCAGCACAAATGGAATTAAATCTAATAATTAGTAATCAAAACCTTGTACTTGCACAGGAAGGTTTGGTTTCTCTTTGGAATGAAGAGGAGTCGGACCTGCAGCCTCTTGCAGAGGAGGCTGGTCCTACCAGTCAAGTGTTAAACTACCCAGTACAGAAGATCTGGCAACGCGTAGTGGATAGTAGCTGGATTGTGGGGATACAATTATCTGAATCTGTCAGCTTGTAAGTAAATTGGACAAACACAAAGGCACATTTGCTGCAATGGTGAATGCTACCAGTGGTTAAAGAGATGGAACTTCCATATAGAAAAATTGACAATATTAATAATCAAAAGAAAAATATTAAAAGTCTACAACTTTATCTGATTCACATATCAGGTGCAGATTTGCTGATTTTGTTCATTTTTGTAAAACAATAATTAACATACAAATTATAAGCAAGAGTAAGCTATCTGTTCCCTGAGCCTGTTACATTTAACAAAATCGTGGCTGGTCTGATTGTGGCCTCAACTCTGCATTCCTGCTGATTCATAATAACCTTTGTTTCCTGCATCAATCAAAAATCTATGTACCTCTGCCTGAAAAAAAATGGATAACTCTTCTTCCACTGCTTTGGAAAACCGAGTTCCTACGACTCATACCTCTCCGAGAAGATTCAGCAGTACTTAGAAAACCTCAATGAAATCAGACAGAGTCAATGTGTTTTTGGAAAAGTGAAATCACGTTTGACTAAATTTTTTTAAGGAAGCAACAAGCAATGTGGATCAAGGGGAGCATTTGGAAGCAGATGTGCTAAACTTAGATTCCAGAAGGCATCTGATAAGGTGCCATATCAAAGATTACTGCACAAAATAAGAACTCAAGGTGTAGGGGGTAACATTAGACAGTAGATGGAGGTTTGTTTAGCAAACAGGAAGCAGAGAGTAGGCTTAATGGGTCATTTTTGAGTTGGCTGTGAATAGCGATACAGAGCAATCTGTGTGTCCAGGTACGTGAATCGCATAGAGTTAAAATTCAGTTACATAAAGTAATTAGGAAGGCGAATGGAACAGAATATAAAAATAGGGATGTTTGCTAATTACACAGTGAATGGGTGAGGCTACATCTGGAGTAGTGTATAGTTCTGGTCTCTTTATTTAAAACAGGATGCAAATGCATTACAGGCAGTACAGAGAAGGTTAACGTAATTGAGGGGGAATGGTTACCATATGGGGAAATGTTGGATGGGCTATCCTCCATCCATTGGAGTTTAGAAGAACAAGAGGTGATCTTATGGTGACATACAAGGGAAGCTTTTATAGGGTTGATGCTGCAAGGATGATTCCAGCAGTTTCCCTATGACTGATGTTAAACTAACACAGGCCTGTAATTTCCTTCTCACTCTGTCTGTCTCTCTCACATGCTCTGTCTCGCTCTCTGCTCGTCACCCCCAAATAGAGGAGTCACATTCATTATTTTTAATCTGATGGAATCTTGCCAACATTGAGGAAGTTTGGAAAATTACAGCTATTTCATTTGCTCTTATAGCAGCCACTTTTGTAACACCCTAGGAGGAAATCCATCAGGATCTGAGAACTTAGCTGTCAGTTTTAATAATTTTCTCAGTTTCCTTTCCATAGAGAATGTTATTGTTTTACGTTCCTCCCTCTCTCGGGATGTCAGTTCTATCCTCTACAGTGAAAACAGGCATAAAATATCTGTCCAATTCACCAGATATTTCCTTATTTTCCATTATTAATTTCCCAGACACTCACTTCAGGTGATCAAAACTCACCTTACTTAATTTTGTTTTTTTTTAATATGTGTAGAAACTCTTGTTATTTGTTTATATATTTCCAATTAGCATTCTCTTGCACTCTTACGTTCTCTCTGCTTATTAATCTTCGTTTGCTGTTTAATTGTTTGCTGTTCTTTATGATCTGTCCAGTCTTCTGGCATGTCAATCACACTTGAAGAACTGCACACTTCTCTTTTGATTCTATCTTTAATTTCCTTAATTAGTCACAAATTGTGAGTTCTCCCGAGGGGATCTTTCTCTTATCAAAATGTGCCATTTGTGAGTATTCTGAAATATCTCCTTAAATGCCTGCAACTGCATCTGTACTGACTAATCCCATAATCTAATTCTCTAGTTCACTTTTTAGGTAGCTATGTCCCCATGCCTTCACAATTGCCCTTATTTGTATTTAAAACATGAGTCTTATATCCACTCGTTTCTCCCTCCTCGTGAATATGTGATATTCAATCATATTGTCATCAGAGCTACATAGGAAGCCTGCACTTTGAAGTCATTGATTAATCCAGTCTCATTGCTCATTCAGTCTAGTTTGGCTTGCTATTCGGTTGGCTATAGAATGTACTGCTAAAGAAACTGTTCCAAAAACACTCCATGAATTCATCATCCAGGCTACCTTTGACAATCTGATTCATCTATATGTAATTAAGATCACCCACAATTATCACCATATCTTTCATACAAACCCCTATCATTTATTCCAGTGTTCCTGTCCTACAGTGTGATTACTGTTGAGAAGACTAACTACCACTACAACAAACAAATTCTTAACATTTAGTATTTCTCATTTCTATTACCGCCTATTCTGCATCTTGATCACTAGAACTAAGGTAATACCTTTAACTAACAGAATTATCCTTTTTCCATTTTTTCCAAACTTCCTATCCTTTCTAAATATCATGTATGCTTGAGTATTCAGGTCTCGGTTTTTGTCACCTTGGAGCTAAGTCTCTGTAATGGCTACCGGATCATATATATTTTTCTGTTTATGCTGTCCAACCACCTGATAGCAGAAACAAAAAATTACTGACAAATCTTGGGCTTACCTTTAGGCATCATGTTTAAACTTACTAACTGTATTGATGTATATGTACATTGATGAGTCACAGTTCTAATTGTTGATAATTGTTGATAAATATGTAATCCGTCTCAATATTTAAAGTACACCCTATACCTAATAAATTATTTTAGTAAACACAAAGCAGTTTTTACTATTCAGTGCAATACTTTGTTACTTGGATATTCACAATCATGTGGGTAACATTAATAGTGATTGATTAATTGTAGACGGTATCAGGAGGCTCAATCCTCCTTAATCATGTTAAACACTGAATTTTCAGTATTTGTTATTTTTACACAATTGTAACATCACTAAAGATAGGAACAGGAGTAGGCCGTTCAGTTCCTCAAGTCTGTTCCACCATTCAATGAGATCATGGCTGACCTGTGGTCTAATTGTGCCGATGGCCCATACCCCTTAATATCATTGTTTAATAACATATTATCTATATCAGATTTTAAATTAACAAGTGACCTTGCATCCCTGCCATTTTCAGAAGAGGCATCTCTCCCTAATGATCTGGCCTTAATTCTCATCAATGAGATGTTACCTTTGCTGCATGTTGGATTCCATTCCTTCTTAAACAAATAACTTCCTAATTTTAAGTAGTAGAGGTGAGAGACTGTGCAAAGAAACCAGAATATGTTTTGCATGAAAATACACCTTAAGATGAAACTAGATATCTGAGTCAGTTACAAGGGACAGTAATGAGAACTAAAATGTAGGCAATCCAAATTAAAAATTGTTATGGTAGATTGATTTCTTGAACCTTAGCAATTTATCCTTATCTTTTTAATAGTCACAAGTTAGTTTATAGTGATGGTCCATGTGAAACCTTTGTATTGTTCTTTGCAGAAATTTTGACTATCTGAGTTTGTCACTGATGATGGATCATGACTTTACTGCTGCTCCAGTGATTCAATCTCAAAGTAAAGTACTGAAGGTAAACAAATCCCAAGTATCAGCATCATTTCACCAGTATCCATCGAAACCTCCAATGAAGAAGCCAAGACTGGAGGTGCAAAACATACGCACTTTGAGTAGCAGCCATAAGGAAGACCCGTGTTTTCATATTTACAAAGATCATGCACAGACCATCACAGTTATCACAGACTTGTCACCGCTACTGGTATACAGTAATATTTGTTGCTACGTATTACTGCATGGTACAATGGGTCCTATTCAGAAAACTGGATTCATGAAAAAAGAGAAGATTATATCATGTGGCAGAATATCTTTAAACCTGGAGGATATCTGGAATGAAAAGTATGCAATAAGCCTGTTGCAGAATCCTTTGCTATGTACAGGTAACTATATTAGTTTTTAAATTAAAGTGAGTTTATGTGAACATAGGGAACATTTTGTTATAGAGCCTCTCAAAAGGTTGATCTTAAACTAGAAGCTACTTGGATGTTTGTAAAGCAATTATATATTGTCACCTTGGATTTCAATACAATTCCATTAGCCAACTTACAATAATTTTCATATTTAAAGCAAATTTTAATTTTCCTGACAAACTTGAAAAAGACATCACAGGTTGTAAAAGTAAATCTTACAAATGCGGAAAATCATTTTAGAAAAACACATGAAATACTTACCAGCATCAGCATCAGTAAAATGGAGAAAGAGTGTTAATTTTTCAGGTCAATGATGTCTACTCTGAACTGGAACATGGTAAGGAATTTAAGAATGTACAATGGCAGGGAAAGTGGGGATAAGAGTAAAATTTTTCGGGTTGGACACAAGATAAATGAATTGACAAGTGGGACAGTAGTACAAGGTAAATGCAAATTGTTGTGGAATAATTTTGTTTCACAAAACAAATCACCCAACCTGCATTGCAGCCCCCTAGCATGGAGAAGACAACATTGTGAGCGGTGAAAGCAATGCACAAAGCTGAAAGAAATGCAAGTACATCACTGTTTAACCTGAAAGGTGCGCGTGGAACTTCAGACAATGGGAATGTAGGAAGTATAAGGCCATGGATTTGCATAAGAAAAGGAAGAGATGATTGGAAGTGACTCGGGAGTGACCAAGGTATTGCAGAGGGGGCAACCCCTTTAAATATTGAAAAGAGAAGGAAAGTACTGCTTGTTAATGGGGTCATGTTACAGGTGGCAGAAATGCCAGAGTCAAGGGCCAGAATCTTCCCAGTCCCTGAATGATGTGAACAATGTTGAGTCGGTTTGGAAAATAAAAGTGAAAATTTTCAAACCTCTTGAGTCTTTACAATATGTGATGCTCCTACTCTGTGCAATGAGGTGATGTTAGACTACACTAGGCATTAGAGAAGAAGTAGCACTCCCCTCGATAGGGTTCTAAGATGGGATGACACTCAGGAATGAACCTGTGTGGCTTAGTTCTTAAATAACAATACGTTTATAAATGTGTTCTCATATTTAGAATGAATTGTCAGCAGTGCAACATGCGTGCTGTCAGAATTGTTTCTTTCTCTTTCCCCTCCCACTATGTGTACTATGAAGGACAGCTCTTGGCAGCACTTTATTTGGTGCCTGGCTAGACTCTAAAACTGATTCCAGTGCCATGAATCCTGGGATTTCCCAGCATTGGCAAGTACTTCTGCCATTGCTGAATGGAAGAAAACACAAGTGGGGCACCAGACAGGCATCATAGCTTATGAGGTGAGCTGCAGAGAATAGCCTGTGAAAACTCACTGTAGCTAACTAGAGAAATCCTACATGAAACTGACTGAGATTAGTCGTGCATTAATGGTACATTAAGGTTACATTGCTAGCTTAGTAATCCCAAGATTTGGATTCATGTTCCACAGGCATATGTTCAAATCCTTCCATTGTAGCTGGAAAATGTCTGATGGATGTTTTCAAGATTGTGTAGGCTGATAGAGTAGATTGGGTGAAACGTCTCATAAAAGAGTCAAGAATGAAAGAAAACAAATGTCAATTGCGTTGTAAAAGAGGCATCTGATTTGTGAGAAAAACGTTTTCATACAGTGAATGGTTCAGGTCTGGAACGTATTGTCTGGAGATGTGATGGAAGCAAGTTCAGTTGAGGCATTCAAGAGGGCATTAGATGATTATTCGAGGTGAAACAATGTGTAAGTGTGTGGAGAAAAGGCAGGAGAATGGCACTAATTTGTAATGCCCATTTGGAGAGCTGATGCATACATAGTGGGCCATATGCCCTCCTCCTAAGCTGTAACACTTAGGTGCTTCTGATTGTGGAGCTTGGTGGAATGGACACTGAAGACAGTGGGAATCCATTTATGATTCTGAGAACAGAGGGAAATGGAACAGAACAGTCAGTCATAGTTGTGGAAACAAAAACATATCAGAGGCACTGGTATGGGTAGTGGCATCTTCAGAACTACTGAGATGGAAAAGCTGCAAGAATGGAACAAAGACCTTACAGGAAACAGGATATGAAAAAGTGTAGTCACGAAGTAGCTGTAGGACGGTGTCAAGGACATTCAACTTGTTTGAAAAATTCTAGAATTGCTGCCGAAGCCAATTCAAAATGAATATTCAATGTTCTCAAGTATTTGGTTCACACACTATTGTAGGAGCTGAGTTAGGTCTCAGCCAGGATAGTGCCTAAAGAACATGAGCACAGTTTAGTTTGCCAGAGTAATCTTTAGCCTTTTTTCTTTCATGGTATGTTGGTGCACTGGCATGGCAAACATTTGTTGCACATCTGTATTGATTTTTAAATGGCTGCCGTGTGATGCAGCCTTGGACCTCTGCAGAAAATTTCCGAGATTTTGATCCAGAGACATTGAAGGAACAGTGATATAGTTCCAAGTTATGATGGTGTGTGACTTGGAGGGTAACTTGCAGGTAATGGTTTTCCCACGTGTCTGCTGCCTTAAGGTCTTCTATGTGATAGAGATGATGGGTTTGCTAGCTGTTGTCAAAGGAACATTAGTGAATTGCCGCTGTGCATCTTATGAATAATACTGCTGCCATTATGCATTGGTGCTAAAGGAATGAATATTTAAGATTGTGGGTAAGTGATAATCAAGTGTTGATTGATACCCCAACAACCATCTGAACCATTCATTCATAGGAAGCACGGTGACACTGCTGCCTTATAGCACCAGGGACCCAGGTTCGATTCTAACCTTGGGCGACTGTCTGTGTGGAGTTTGTACATTCTCTCCCTGTCTGGGTTTCTGCCAGGTGCTTCAGCTTCCTCCCACAGTCCAAAGATGATTAGGCCACTTAGTCATTTTACATTGCCCCATGATGTCCAAGGATATGCAGGCTAGATGGAGTAGCCATGGTAAACGCAAGATTATGCGGATAGGAGATCTGGTTGGGATACTCTTCAGAGGGTCTGCGCAGATCTGATAGCTTAAATGGCCTCTGTCTGCACTTTAGGGATTCTGTGATTCTGTGACTTCAGACTGCTTTGTCCTGGATCGTGTCGAACCTCTGGAGTTTTATCGGTATCCTACCCATGCAGGCCAGCGGAAAATATTCCATCATGCAATAGTCCAAAGAGATTCTACAAATACATTAAGAGCAAGAGGGTAACTGGAGATAGGGTAGGGCCTCTTAAAAATCAAGGAGGTCATATTTGTGTTGAACCCCAGGAGATGGGAGAGATACTAAGTGAATATTTCAGGCCAGTTTTTACTTGGAGAAAGAAATGGAGTCCAGAGAATGCAGAGACATAAACTTGATGTTTTAAAAACAGTTCACATTACAGAAGAGGAAGTTTGAGATGTCTTAAAGAATATAAAGGTGGATAAATCTCCAATACCAGATCTAATGTATCCCAGAACATTGTGGAAAGTAAGGGAGGAAATTGTGGGACCCCTTACAGAAATATTTGCATGATCTGTAACTATAGATGAGGTGCCTGATGGCTGGAGGGTGGCTAATGGTTGTACTTTTGTTTAAGAAAGGTTGTAAGGAGAAACTGGGGAGCTATAGACCAGTGAGTCTGTCTTTGGTTGTGGGTAAATTGTTCTCTACCTTATAAAAGGTAGAACTTACGGACATTTAGAGAGGCACAAGTTGATCAGGGATAGTCAGCATGGTTTTGTGCAAGGAAAATTGAGGAAGTTACCAAAAAGATTGATGATGGCCATGCAGTAGACGTTGTTTATTGGGATTGTAGTAAAGCCTTTGACAAGTTTCTGCATGGTAGACTAATTACACATGGGATTCAGGGTGAGCTTGCCAATTGGATACATAATTAGAGATAGAGGACTTGATGTTGTGGTGCAATGAGAACAACCTTTCTCTCAATGTGAGCCAAACTAAAAAAAACTGATCAATCATTGACTTCAAAAAGAAGGGAAGAGAACACGTCCCCATCTACATCTATGGAGATAAGGTTGAGAGGGTGGAGAGCATCAAGTTGCTTGGAGTGATGATAACTGACAACTTGGACTTCCTACGTAGATGCAATGTTCAAGAAGGCACAACAACGCCTCTTCCTCCTTAGGCAGCTCAGGGAATTTGGCATGAATATAAGGACCCTCACCAACTTTTACAGATGCACCGTTGAAAACTTACTGCCGGGGTGCATAACAGTCTTCTATGGCAACTGCTGTGCCCAGGACCGTGAGAAACACAGAAGGTTGTGTGCACAGCCCAGACCATCACGGAAGCTATTTACACAGCCCGTTGCCGCGGAAAGGCTGCCAACATTGTCAAAGATCTATCACACTCTAATAATGCTCTCCTACAACCTCTCCCGTCAGGTAGAAGATACAGAAGCTTGAACATACACACCAGCAGGTTCAGGAATAGCTTCTTCCCGGCCGTTATTAGACTGATGAATGGATTGTCTAACTTCAAATAATGCTGATTTTTGCTAATGTTGATCTTGCCTAGCGCACGGCCTGTGCGACGTAACCTGTATGCCTCTAAGTTTTTCGTCTCACCCTATAATCTGTATATCCTTGCTAACTATGATCTGCCTGTACTGCTCGTAAACAAAGCTTTTCATGTATTTAGGTACAAGTGACGATAAATAAATCAAATCAAATCAAATCAAATCAAATCAAATCACATAATTGGCTTAATGGCACGAGATGGAGAGTAATAGTGGAGAGTTGCTTTTCGGACTGGAGGCCTGTGATCAACGGGGTTCGATAGAGATCGGTTCTGGGTCAACTTTTGTCATTTGGATGAGAATATAGAAGGCATAGTTAGTAAGTTTGCGGATGAAACCAAAATTGGTGGCATAGTAGACAGTGAAGAAAGTTTTACAAAGAGATCTTGATCAAATGGATCAAAGGGCTGAAAAATGGCGAATGGAGTTCAATCTGGTTAAATGCGAGGTATTGCATTTTTGGTCCAAAAAAACGAAGGTAGGGCTTAAACAATTAATGATAGAAGTTTATAAAATAATGAGGGGTATTGGTAGAATCATAGAATCCCAGAATCCCAACAGTGTGAAAACAGGCCCTTTGGCCCAACAAGTCCACACCGACACACAGAGCATCCCACCCAGACCTATCCCCCTAATCTACGCATCCCTGAACACTGCAGGCAATTTAGCATGGCCAGTCCACCTAACGTGCACATCTTTGGACTGTGGGAGGAAACCAGAGCACCCAGAGGAAACCCACGCAGACACGGGGAGAATGTGCAAACTCCACACAAACAGTCACCCGAGGGTGAAATCGAACCCGGGTTCCTGGCGCCGTGAGGCAGCAGTGCTAACCACTGAGCCACCGTGCGGCCCACAATTTATTGAAATGTACAAGATTCAGGGTCTTGACAGGGTCGATGCTGAACGGCTTTTCTTTTGTGGGAGGATCTAGAACAAGGGGACAGAGCGTAAAGATTAAGTGTGCCCCATTTAAGAGTGAAATAGTGTTTTTTTTTCCTTTTAGCGGGTCGATACTCTGCAAAGTTCTCTTCTCCAGAGAGCAGTGGAAGCTGGGTCATTGAATACATTCAAGACCGATCAATAAGGGAGTGAAAAGTTACGGAAGGCATTCAGGAAAGGAGGAAGTCACAATCAGATAGGCCTTGATTTTGAGTGACAGAACAGACTTAAAGGCCTACTACAATTCTTGGGTTCTTGAACGTACTCACATTCAGGCCAATGCCTTGATGCGTCAAACCTGTTGAACTAGAAGCACAAAGTGCGTCCCTGAAGAGAGAGAATATCTATCTACAATATCTACAGCACATGGGCTGCAGTGGTTCAAGGTGATAGCTCATCATCACCTTCTCAAAGGCAACTTGGGATGGGCAATAAATGATAGCCAGCCTGCGATGCCCACATTCAACAAGTGAATAGAAAAAATAAATCATGGATGGAATTTTGAGTCTATTTAATTTTGGAAACAGAAACACAGTGATGTGCTTCTGCAGAACGAATGCCAATCTTAGCAAAAAGAAAAGTGTGTTCGTACTTTGACTTCAATTTTACTAGCTGAATCAGTGGAAGTATGTTCCAAGAGGAGTAAACTTTTTCAAAGTCAGTGGCCTAGTTCCAAGTGCCAAAATACAAATTCAGTGTTCAGGATCAAATTGAATGCAGTCCTGACCATTTTGAAAAGTTATACACCTTCAAGCTGAAAGGTAAATGCGTATTCAACAACCTTTCATTTTCATAGTTGACAATTTCTCATGTTTACTAGTTCTTGGCTCTTAACTGCAGTGCTAATTTGTGAAACATTCTTTTTAAACAAGTCTTCAGAGCTCTTATTCTTGTATAAAAACATTTAAACATATCACACCATTGATCCTTTCTGGTCAGCGGCACTTTTAAATCTTTAACTTTAAAGCATCATATAGTTCTTTTATAACTAAATGCACAACCCGATTTAAACTTGTGTATAAATACCATTGTCATCAGTAAAGAGTTAATGGTAGTTGTCTTTTCCCTAGGATGGAGGATTTCAAGACTTGGGGGCACAATTTTGAGGTAAGAGGAAAGAGATTTAAAAAAGACATGACAGGCAAATTTTTTACAAAGGGTGGTTCACGTATGGACTGAACTTCCTGAGGAAGTGGTGGATGCGCGTAGAATTACAATGTTTAAAAGACATTTAGATAGATACATGAGTAGGAAACATTTGGAGGGATATGGGCCAGGAGCAAGCAGGTGGGACTAGTTCAGTTTGGGATTATGTTGGTATGGACTGGTTGGACCAAAGTGTCTGTTTCTGTGCTGTATGACTCTATGCTCCTATCTTGCCAATGCTTGTAGCTACAGTATTTATATGGTGGTTCTATTTTCAATATTAGATCAGTGGTAACTTCCAGATGCTGATTGTTGGTGGTTCAGTGATGATAAAGCTATTGAGTGTCAGAGGGGGCTGGCTAAATTCTTTCTTGTTGGAGGTGGTAACTTCAAAGCACTTGTGTTGTGCAAATGTTACTTGCGCTTATTAACCCAAACCTGAATGTAGTCCAGATCTTTCTCCATATTGACACAGACTACTTCAGTATCTGGGGAGTTACAAATGGCACTGAAGATAGTGTGCAATCATCAGTGAACATCCCCACTTCTGTCCTTGTCATAGAATTACAAAATTGCTACGGCGCAAAAGGAGACCAGTCAGCTTGCCTACTCTGGCTGTTTAAACAAGCATCATTAGTCATAAAGTCACAGAGTCGTGCAGCACAGAAACAGACCTTTCAGTCCAACTTGTCCATGCTGACCAGATATCCTAAATTAATCTAGACCTTTGCCAGCATTTGGCCCGTAACCCTCTAAATCCTTCCTATTCATTTATCCACCCAGATGCCTTTTAAATGTTGTAATTGTAGCAGATTCCACCACTTCTTCTGGCAGCTCATTCCATACATTCATCACCCTCTGCATGAAAAGGTTGCCCCTCAGCTGCCTTTATAATCTTTCCCCTCTCACCTTTAACCTATGCCCTCTAGTTCTGGACTTCTCTAGTGAAAAGACAAGCATCATTAGTCTCATCATTCACCCTATCCATGCCCCTCATTACTTTGTGGCGATTTCCTACTTTCTCCCCCCCATACACTCGCAAGCTATTTTTATCCATATAATCATCCAGTATCAAATTGAATTTTCCTCCTCCACATTTTCAGACAGTGCATTCTATACCCTGGCTACTCGCTATGTGAAACAGGTTTTTTTCTAAATCACCCTTGCTTCTTTTGCACATCATTTTAAATCTATGCCCTTGTGTACTTGCTCCTTTTATGAGTGGGTTCATCTTCTCCCTATCTACTCTATCTAGACTTTGTGATAAATC